CGGCAAGCAGGTCGCGGCCGGCGCGGGGCTGTCGCTGCGCGTAGGGGACTCGCTGCCCGAGGCTGCCAGCAACAGGGTCAGGCTATGCCTCATGGGGCCCAGCGGCAGGGCGACGCCGGCCCGGGCCCCTCAGACTGGGCCTCGCGGGCCCCGCGGACCTCAGGCCCCAGCGCTTGTACCCCGAGCGCTGGCCGAAAGAAATGGAGGGAAAGGTCCAAGTCGCCTCCCGCTTCACTTGGCAGGTCGACCCCCCGCGCTAAGGCGGGGGGGAGGGGAGGGGATAAGAAGATCGAAGCGGCGAGGCCCAGCGATGACTCGACCGCGCCACTCAGACAACGGCCTGGCCGGAAGTCAGTCTGTTCGCTCCAGCCCCGCCCACCGCATTTCGCGCCCCTCCCCACCCCGGATCGTAATATCGCGAGAGTTCACAGTCTTATGGACTGGGAGTCTTTAGTATTGAAGTGATGTCATAGTAACAGCGGCAAAAATAACAAATTCCGGATTGATCCCCTTAGTTAGATAATACAATATTAATACCTAGACTCAACAATTAAGTGTTCAACATTTACCATACTTGCTATATTTATATGTATTTATAAATGTTTTTTTGCTATAACATTTCAGGGTTGTACATGAGATCACACCCCTACATTAATATATCTCTAAAAATTTTTTTGAGTTATCCTTTATAGTCATACTATAATCAAATCTGAAAAAATAAACAATCGTTTGCTAAAATTATCTAATACCCCGGTCATATTCAGATGTCCTTGTTCTCTAATCTTTTCAAAAGCTTTTAAAAATGTATTTATTTTATTGATGATATTGGTATGAGAGAGAAAGAGACAGGAAAGAAGTATCCTCAAAAGAGTCTAGTCATGTTGTGATCCCCTGCCCACAGATCTCCTGATAGGTACCTGCTGACCCTAGCATTTTTTCAGGCAGATAGACCTGGGGATTTAAAACCTGGTTGATCTTGTGTTTTCCGATACTCCAGTTCAATTTGCTACCAACCGCTCGAACCACGGTCGACTACATGGGAGTCCAGCGACATAGCCATTAAGCCAACTCCTGGTCCCTAAAGTAACTTTTCATAGCAGGTATTTTCTTTTGAGCCAAGATCCAACCAGAGATCACTTTCTGGATTTGGTTGTTGTAAAGTTCTGCTTGCCCTCCCCACCCCCCTCAACTAGAACAGTTCCCTCTACTTTTAAATTTTCTTGATAGTGGCTTTTCGAAAAGAACATATCAGTTGTCTTGCAGAATGAATCACATTCTGGATTTAGAGTCTGTTTCTCTCTTTTCTTTCTTTTTTTTTGGGGGGGGGAAGTTTTTGCTATAGGGTGCATGCACTCGCCAGAGAGAGACAGAAAGACAGACAGACAGAAAATGAGAAATCTCCCCCCAGGGGGGTTGCCCACACCACAATCCCTTTTCCTCATTTCTCCTTTTGGGATCTTCGGCTCGTACGCACACGCGCCCGGCATGAGTTTTTTTAAGCCATCGGGTCTGGGACTCGAACTGCGGGCAACTATGGGAGTCCAGCAACATAGCCATTTTGCTAACTGCTGGTCCCTAGAGTCTGTTTCTTCATGGTGTTTGTTTTTCAAGTCCCACAGGGATTTGAGATTGAAGCACTTAGAAATGCATTAGAATACAGTAAAGCCAAACAATTTAAATTTTTAAAACACAAGACTAATAGAAATATAGAAATACAAGGAGTTCTGAGAGGGAAAGGCTAATAAAGGAGTATTATGAACAACAATAGTCAAGTTGGGCTAAAAATAGATGACACCTCCTGGCTGCCCCCCAAAAATAAACTGTATTTGCTCATGAGTGAAGTATATATGAATTTTAAACCACTTTTCTAGTTTTTTTTTTTAAATAAAACAAAACAAAAAATAACACCTATATCAGCAGTCCCCAATCTTCCCTGCACCAGGACTCATCTCATGAAAGACAACAATCCCAACAGCGGTGGTGGGGTGGGGTGGCGCTGGTCCCAAGAACAGCAAGAGCACCACATCCCCATGCACCCCATTTCCACTACCACCGCCTCGAAGCATACAACAAAACAATCACACAACAGTAGGGTTCATTCTCCCATGACAGTCCTGTTCTGCCACTGATTCAACAGGAAGTGGAGCCCAGGCAGCAATGTGAGCAATGAAAAGGGGCAGCAAACACAGAACAAAGCCTTAGTCATTTGCCTGCTGCCCACCTCATGCTGTACAGTCCAGCAGACAGGCAGGCACCAGTACATTCTAGGCCCCTAACAGGCCATGGACCAGGAATGGTGTGCATCCTGGGGTTTGGGACCCCTGCTCTATGGGATACTGAATAATGTAGCAGATTGCCTCAACAATAGCTGCTTTATATGACTATTTCTTTGAGACATAGAAATCAAATTTCAGGAAACCTGGACACTGGTACTTCCTAAATATCCAAAAATACACCTAGCACACTATAGGCTTCAACATATATTTGAATGAATAAAGGGCTACAGATTTTTCTTTTTTATACTAGAGAGAGAGAAAAAGTGAGAAAGCACACACTAGGGGAGATGGCCACACCACAATCCCTTCTCCATTTTCCTCTTGGGATGTTGGCCATGCACATACACGTGCCTGGTATGGTTTTCAAGTCACTGGGTCCAGGACTCAAACCATACATTCAGCCATGTGGGATGAATGTATGGTCATCTTAACCACCATGCCCATGGCTGGCCTAGGACTGCAGTTTTGACTGAAGACATAACATAACATAAAGCTCAAGTGAATGAAAACAATTCTGCAGGGGCGAAAATAAGTATGATCTGTAGCATGTATTAACAGTCAAGTAATTAAAAGTTCTCCCTATCTTTTTTTTTTTTTGTAGAGATTTTTGCTATAGGGCGCATGCGCTTGCCAGATAGACAGCCAGAGAGACAGAAAGAAAGAGAGAAATCCCCCCCCAGGGGGGATGGCCATGCCGTGATCCCTTCTCCTCCATTTCTCCTCTCAGGATCTTGGGCACACACGCACACGTGCCCGGCATGAGTTTTAAGACACCGGGTCTGGGACGCAAAACATGGTCTACTACGTGGGAGTCCAGCGACATAGCCATTATGCCAACTGTTGGTCCCAAAAGTTCTCCATATCTTTCAAAGAACCTTCCTATTAGGAAAGGTTTTGCTGAAGTGCTACAGCACACAGTTCAAAGTGTACATATCCTGGCCTGCTTTGAGTATAGGTGATTTGCATCATTAGTAACCCCATTCAACTGTATTTTTTCTTTAGGCAAAATTCAATATCTACATATTGAATATTATTACATGTCTTCCTAAATTATAAAATTTTAGTTTAAGTATACATGGCTTAAAAGCCTCTCCAGTTAGATTAAGAGAAAAGCATGAAAGTGAATGGGAAGGAAGATTTTCAAATGGACCCTCAAGAGAGAAAAAAGCACCAGAAGCAAAATAAGCCTATCATAAAATGGTTGTTTATCCTCTTTACCCTCCATTTTCTTCTCTTCATACTTTTCATGCTCTCCTTCACAGATACTTTATTACCTTTTCTGGTTATAATGATCATTGCAAGAGATTCAGAGAATGTGGAAATAATTAGGAAGATATTACCCATAATCTAATGACTATGACTAAAATTTTGACGTAGAGAGCTCTCTGTACCTCTTCTGGTTCTGAGGACTGCCCAAGTTGCAAATTGTTCTTTGTTCTATTAAAGTTTGTTAATTTTTAAAAAATTAACTTTATTTTTAATTTGACCAGAGAGAAACAGAGCAAGAGCATGGGAGAGTGAAAAAGCAAGCTGCCAGGT